GAAAAGATAGAAAAGATATTAATAGATTTGATACATATTATAACTAACATAAATGCTTAATAATTGAAGAATGAAAATTGAACAACGATTGTTTTATTTATGATTCAAATTCTAATAAACTTAATCACACACCTGCGAATTATCCGAAGATGAAAATGATCAAAATTTATTCAAACTCTCATTTATATTATACTTAAGCCTAAGCCTTCTTTTTTTAAATATAACTTTTGATCATTTAGTGATTAATGATAATTACAATTAATTTTAATTTATCATTTGTTCATATATGTTAAATTCAATAGGCTAAATCTTTCTTATTGCATCACTGAATTAAAAATTAAAACAAAACGAATGAATCATATGACTGAAACTTTCGACCTAAATAAAATTAAAGTAAATTTCCCACTATTGAAGTGAATTGCAAATTTTGTTGTGATTCGAAATAACCGAATTTAAAAGTTTCCATTTAAATGATTTGAAAATTTTCAACCATTGATTTATTGAAATGAATCAATACACAACTGCTATTATTATTATTATTATTATTATTATTATTATTATTATTATTATTATTATTATTATTATTATTTATTAATATTACTTATTAATATTATTATTACAGATATTATCTGTCATTATTATTGAAAAAACTTTCCTTTCCTTTTATTAAAGCAATTGAATGAATAAACCGTAAAATTTGTCAATTAATCGATCTGTTCTTCCGGTTTTCATCCTTAATTACATATCTTCCGGTTATCTCTTCTTTTTGCTCACTTACTACTCTCTTCATTCTTAATTATTTCATTAATTTATTTGAACGATTAATTCAATTATATTACAAATAGACAAAAGTTTTGTGCATTGTGCGTATTGAATCATTTTATAATTTTTACTGATAAAATATTAAATTTTACAAATTATCAAATATTATCACAGTTTGATAATGAAAGTTGATAGGAATTTTATCAATCCTTCAGCATTGTTTTCATAATCTATCAGTAGAAAGAACAATTATAAAATTTCAAATTAATTAAAATACAAATTTTATGTTTTTGTTTACAAAAAAAACATGGAAATTTTTCTCAATCAATTTTAATTAGGAATTATATTATGTTATGTTTGTTGTAAAGATTATATAAAAGGATTTATATATATATATATATATATATATATATATCATGATATTGGCATGTCAATAATCCACTGATAATGAATAGTATCACCAAACAGCTAAATGATAACTGATAATAACAGTATCGTTCTGATAATAAATTGATAATCGGAAAAAAATTATGCAAATATTATCTTTTTATTCTGTAATATAGCAATAGAATGGAATTAATTATTATAACAGTAAAAGATAAATTAGTTTTTATAATTATAATATTACTATTATTCATTATAGTGGTATTATCATTTGATAATTTGATAATTAAATAAATACTAAAGAAAATTGAAAATTATACATAAAAAATACAAAATAAAAGTATAAATCGATGAGAGAACTTTTTCTTAATAATTTCAATTTTTATTAAAAAATTATAATTGTTTTTTTGTAAATAAATATTTAACAAAAATTTTCTGGACTTTAATTAATTTCAATAAAATCAATGAAAGAAATAAAAGTGACGAAAAGAAAAGAAAAATTAAAAAGTGATAAAGGAATTATGAAAAATACAATTTTAACAGCTACAGCTAAAGTAAGCTGTCAATTAATAAACATAAAAAACTTTTATGGCTATTTAATTATGAATTAAATTTAAAATATATGATATGGTCTATTTATTATAACACTTGCAGCATTATAACTGTGAATGTTTAAAAAAAGTTGAAAGTATTACTTTATTTTTTTAAAACAATTAATTTAATTTCTTTTCTTTCTTTCTTTCTTTCTTTTTATCTCTTCTAAAAAACTGCAATTTTCTTATTTAATTCAATTCCAATTCATTTCTTATTTAATTATTATTTTTCCATTTCATTTTTAACTTTTTCTTTTTCAATTGTTTTATTTTAATTATAATAAATTAAAATTCAAAATAAACAAATTAATTATTATATGTAATATAATTGAGAATATTTTTTTGAAATAAATAATTACAAATTTATCATTTCATTTAAAAGAATTGTGTGTGTGTGTTTTTCCTTCTCATTTGTAATTGTACATGAATAGCTGTTGATTGTTTGAAGACAGCTGTTAAAAATTTTTTTTTCTTGTATCGGAATTTAACAAAATTCTTTTGAAATATAAAATAAATTATCTGAAATCATTTCATCTAATTCATATCATTCATTTTTTATTTTTAATCTTTTTAATGTTTATTATTTTTATTGTAATAAGAATATATTATCGATTAGTTATATCAAGAATATATCATACTATTTTTCAATATATTATATAATTATGTATATAATATAAAATAATATAAACATATAATATAAAACCTCTATAATATGTAAACTTATAAAAACTTATATAATATAAAATAAAATTTTGAAACTATGATTAATTAAAATATAAACTATAAAATTATTGGATGATAGTAATTTATATCATAAGAGAATATAATAATTAAAATGTGAAAAATTTTTGCAAATATTCAATAGGAAATGTAAAAAAATGAAGTATAGAATAAATACGATAGATTTGATAAAGACTGTTTTAAAATGAAAGAAGAAATGAATAATTATCAGTGCAAATGAGAGGCAGCTGTTTTTAAAGAAAAGATTGATAACTGTGTTTTTCTTTCAAGCAAAAATGAATTTAAAGCCAACTGCTTTTCTAATTACAATCATTAGCACTCATCAAATCATGTTCATTCCTGTGGCGCAAATTGAAACAATATGAACAGTTAATTTGCGCCTTTTAATCTATCAAGAAATAATGATATGATCTGTTGCAATCGTTATATTTAAATGATTGTACGCTGATATTCCACGTATGTAGTGAGTAGAGAGTGGTAAGTTTGAAAAAATATATCTGTGTATCTGTGTATGTGTGTGTGTGTATGTGTGTGTGTGTGTGTGTGTGTTATGTAATTTCAAGTGGTAAGATAAGATGGCAATAACTCACCAAATAAACATCACAATTGAAGAGCTAAGTTCAATCGAAATTTTCCCTAATGCTATTTTAAAACTATTTGCTATGCTATGAATTTGTTGTAATTTATACAATGAACATATCCAAGGAATATAGTATATTAGCATAGTTTAGAATTTAAATTTCTAATATATTCTGAAAGTATAAATTTTATTAATATTTATTTGCTTCTTACTTTTTTAGCATTAGAAGCTCTCAGTAGTCAATTTCAAACCTATCTATCTTATTTATTCATTTTTTTCTATTCAGAAATCATGATCTTCTTGAAATTTCAAGAAATAATAATAATAATAATAATAATAATAATAATAATAATAATAATAATAATAATAATAATAATAATAATATTGTAATAATAATAATAAAGTTTCATAACTCATATGCATAAAATATAGATTTGCTTATTAGAATCACAGCATCTTATAAATTCTTACTACCATTTTCAATTTATACGTATAAGTTGCATCAGTTTACAATGGACGTCTAAAGTCAGAGTAATTAGTATGCCAATTCCATTAATATATATATATATATATTAATGGACATATACATATATATATATATATATATATATATATTGATAGCAAACTTTCGTTTTGAATTACAAATGATTGATGGAAGATAAACATGAAGTTTTTCTATTATACAATAAGGTACGATGGTTTTATTGGAATTGAATGTAATCATAGCAATATTACGATTAATAGAAAGCAATACTACCATTAATTAAAGCAATATTACGATTAATTATAACTATATTACGATTAATAAAAAAGCAATAGAAAGTAATATTACGATAATGCGTAAAATGAAAGGAAAAAACAGTGAAGAAAAAAAGAGGAGAAGAATAGAAAGTAAAAGTTTAATAAGAAAAGCTTAAAAAATTTGTATTTGAAGTTTTGAATTGATGACGAAATGAAGTGCTTGAAGTTGATTTGATTGATTAGTTAAACTTCTAATAGTAAGAAATGAAGAATAAGTTAGGCAGAAGTACAAATGACTATGAAAATAATGATAAAAACTAATCTAATAAATGAAAAACTAGCCTAAGAAAGGATAGGCCTAAAATGTTGATCCATTTTAATTATTGTCTTTTATTATAGGAATGTTTTAAAAAGCCTTCAACAAGCTGTCACAATTCATTTAACTTTTAATCCTAAAGAAAAGCGAATAAAAGCTATTCTTTAAAATAATAAAATGAAAATGATTGATATTTTTTGTAATCTAAAAATAAAGGATCGTTTTTTTTCCCTTTTAATTATAATACTAAAAAAACATATTGGAATATTTTAGAAATGAATTGAAATATTTAAAATTTAAGAAATTTACAAAAATTTAAATTTTAAATTTTAAGTATTAAATTAAATTACGGTAGTGAACTTTACTTCTTTTGGTTTATTTCTGAAATTAAATGAAAAGAATGTGAATGAGTCATTATCATTTAGATGATACGTATATTATTCATATTCAGTTTACTGATTACTCAAATTTGATTATCATTTATGTTATAATTTCATATTTTGATTATTTTTTTTCGATCCTAACAAATCCTAAATTTAATAAATTAAATGATTTGAAAATTTGAACTTATAATATTTTCATTATTTCATGGGATCATTTCAATAAATGAGACGATTGTGTTGCTATGCAACCATTTGTCAACTTTATTAGCACAAATCTTTCAGCTCTAAAATTAATTCTTTCTATTCAATTTACAATTCAAATATTTACATTTAATTTAATAAACGATTTAATCTATATTTATATTATTGCGTATATTTATTAATATGTTAATAGATTTGAATTTGAAATTGAAATTTTATTTTACTAATAAATTATTCCAAAAACAGAAAATATATTGTTAGAGTTGAAATTCGATGAAAAATACGATAAATCGTAAATTATGGATTTAACTTTGACAAGAGTTGATTATGCGCAAATTGGTGTGACATGCAAGCGATCGATGCGAATTATTCCGGCTAATCAAAGCACGAAAAGAAAATCGAAATTTCTGGATAAGGTAATTCAGTTTCATTTTCCGGCGAAAGAAATTATATCAGGTTATTGTCACAATTTTTCAGGTTGTTTGTAGTGGTCAGAATGGAATTATTTTGTGTTTCGGTCGAAAAGATGATGAAACACAAGTATGATAGTTGAAATTATTACTGATTATTTGTTATCGTAATTTGGCTGGAAACACAGAATGTGAGTATGATGGATTATTGTTATTCATCGTACAACAACATTCTACAGGTGTTTCCATTTGAAATTTTTATAATTAATCAATATGTAGTGTTATTTCAGCGATTACATATAGTAGAACTGATAACTGATAACTAATATTAGAGCTAAAAAGGCCAAAGTGATACTATATGTAAATTAATTAATATATGTATATAGGTGATTTTCAAAACTGCTTCTGGGCCAAAAGTAGTATGTATCTGTTTGGGTGGTGCACTTGGAATGGTACAAGATAAAATTTTTTGTGCCTATGAAGATCATGTCAAAGGTTATACGAAGAAAGGGAAACAATTTCTTGCATTTGATTCTAATATGATTGAACCAATATCATGCATGTAAGATCGTTAAAATTTTTCATCTCATTTATATTTCGTTTAATAATCAGAAATTCATAATTTATCTATCTCTTAAGCGAATTTTTTTAATTATTTAAAAAGAAATTATTTTTGGAATTTGAAAAAAATAACTTTTAATAAGTAATTAATTTAATTTGAAAATTTCTAAAAACTAGAAATGAATCAGTTTCAGGTGTTCGAGTAATTTCTCGGATTATGAACTTTGAACTTTTAAAGTTTCTTTATAGGTATATATATGGCATTGAAATGTTTCTTTGTGGTGAACGAAATTTCAATCATTTTCATGATTGTGTTGATGCTAATGTAAGTTTTTTTTAATTAACGGAAAACCTATCCGAAAATTTTTGAAGATTCGTAAAATTTATTAATAATTGAGAGAAACAAGATTAGTAATACTGCTGAGAGATTGAAATAGTATTATATTAAAGGTATAATGCATATCATATCTTGAAATATTACTTTCAGGCTTACCTATGTGATGATCAAATTAACGATGTACTCTGTTTACCAGTAGTGGAAGGTTCATGGATCGGTCGAGGAATCACACCAATTATTGCTTGTAGTGATAAGACTATTAAGGTAAATAGTTCGTAATGTATTTTCTACTCAATAAATTGATCCAATTCTATTCATTCGATAACATATCATTAAATGATTTATTAATATTAATAAAACTATCAAATTTGTAGCTAAATTTTTAGTGAAAGCTTAAATTGAAATTGTGCATTTATTCATTTACTTATTTATGATAATTAAAATGTTTATTAAAGAAATGAAAAACAATAAAATTATTTATCTAAGCTTATAAGAGTAAATTGTAATTAAAGTTGAAATAATCAACACTAATTATAAAGTTTCATTAAATTAAATTTTTATCAAATTTCAGATAATTAATGGTAGTAAATTATGTTATGAAATTGGTTTAAGCGATATACCAAATGTGTTACACCTTTTTATGAATGATGGAGGTATTATTGAAAAATTGAAATTATAAAATTTCAAGCATTTTTCCTTGCATCAATTTAAATTGAAATATTATGCAACATTATAGGTTTTAATAAGCAAAAAGTTCTGTATGGTACCAAAGATGGTCATCTTGGATTGGTAGATTTATCACCTGAAAATGGAACATTATTATGGGAAATTTCAACGAACAGTACAAGTGGTATTGTATTCTAATAATCGATCATCTATTTTTAATTGAATAATTAAGAAATTAATTTATAATAAATGATAATTCAGCCTGGAAACCAGAACAATTATTAATATGCTTAAAAAGAAATTATTAATTTATCATGAATTGTTTTTAGCATAAAATTCTTGTCTAATTAAGAAAATATTGGTTTTAGCCATAACATGCATTCATTGCTATCCAATGACCAATGGTCCAACACCAAATATTATTATCGGAAAGGAAGATGGTCTCATTGAAATTTATATGATTGATAATACTGATAAAGCTACTTTCTGTAAAAGTTATGTAAGTTCAATTTTTATACTAAATTGAATTTACTTACCGTATATCATTTCCATCATTGCCGTTTTTCTATCGTTTATAGAATTTTTATATTTCCGGAAATTTTTTATTCCAGAATCTTTTATCAATTTTTGAAGTTATGCTTAAATAAATAAATATTAATTATGAAGGATGTGACGCTAAGGAAAAATATCAGAGATTTTGAGATGATATATTAAAATCATTGGAAATTTATTACTAAAATTTTAAGTAACATCTATTGCTTTTGAAAATAATAATTTAGTTCTTATCCAGAGTACTAATTAATTAATTGGTATAAAAAGATCATGCTTGGTGACAAACTCTTCTAATTCATTTTCAATTATTATTTCTCTTAAAGCAATGCGAAGATTGTGTACTAAGCGTTCAATGTGGACGAGTATCATCGCCTGATTTTGATGAAATCGTTGTTTGCACTCATTTGGGTTGGGTTTTTGCACTTACCACAGAACCGAAAACGAAATCAAATTCTACTGTGGCATTATCACCTAACGTAAAGGTCAAGGTTCAACAACTTAGGTATCAATTTATTATATTTGATCAGCATATTTATTAATTTGTCTGAATTTATTTACTGAATGATTTATTGATATCACTTATTATTACTTATTATTTGTTAATAATTTATGTGTATTTGATAAGTGACTTTTTTCAATCGAAATTAAGCTTGAAAATTCTTTGAGTGATTATTTATTAATTTTTGACTGATAAAAGATATTCATAACTTTTTATCAAATTCATTTATTCAATGATCAATCCAATTTGAATTATTGCAGAAATGAAATTGAAAAGCTGCAGGAAAGGATTGAGAAAGAACGACAACGATATAATAAAATAACGATGTCAAAAGATAGCGTTCCAGTATCGATACCACATTTTATCATTAATGATCAATTTAAACTTGATAAAAAAGCTATATGCTATTCATTAATCATCGAGCTAATTATACCAATTGATTTCATCTTACTTCAGGTTTCATCCATACCTTTAATTATCATCCTTTCACATTTTATTTATTCATACCTTTAAATATCCTTTTTTGTACAATTTAAATTACTAAATTGCTTTTTCATTGATTGCTAAATTATTTTAATTCTTATTTTGATGTGCTAAATGCCAATCTGAAAACAAATCTTTCCTTTTCAAAATATTAAATTATAGCCGTTTAGAGTGATGTAGCAATGGAGTTGCTTGATGTGGAACGGAATGCAGCGATCATTTCGATTACACCACCGGATGGAACGGTTATTTTTGTCTCTTTATTTTCTTATTACTCTAATGGATACTGTAGTAATACAATAAAAAATATTGGCCAAATATTTAAGTCAATTCAAGCATTAGCATTATAATTGATAAAAGAGCAGATTACATCAATGCATTCAAATTGCTTGATATTTTCATTTTTGAAACAAAGGAATTATTCCGGTTAGCAAAACTAATTGAATTCATTTCAGTCAAAAAATGAGTTGCTGGCAACATATCGCTGTCAGGCCAGTACAACAAGGATCGAAATCAAAATGCGCTCATTGGAAGGTCAATATGGATATCTTCAAGCCTATATTTGCCCAAAAATCTATCCCAAAACTTGTCAGGTCTAATATTATTTTAATTGAAATTATTTTACTAATTAGTTATCAACATTTTCTGCCATTTTTCTTTTATCTATAACATCTATCTGATAAGCAGATGTAAAGCTTAGATGTTTCATTCTGAGATCAAACTTTTATCATTCGTATCAGCATGTGTATCAATTTGATTCATCAAAACCGGTGAATGTATTAAATAATTAATTTTATATAAGAATAAAATTCCGAATTGACCATAAATAGTGTATTTTTCCGATGCATCAGACGTAATGCTTAAACAATTCAGGTGCGCAATTATGAAATTAAACCCTTATCATTATATCAGCGTGTACATCAATTTGATTCATCAAGACCAATGAATGTATTGAAATTAACCGGGAATTTTTCGATTGCCGAAGCACATCATTGGTTAAGTCTTCTGATTTTAGAAATTCCCGATCGAACACCAGCACAGGATTCTATAACATATAATTTTTCGTCAATTTTAATTGACACACAAATGCAAGCTACATATAGGTTTGTTATTTAGCTATTTGTTTTCATATACAAACAATCGTTCCTTAATAATTCCTCATATGTTTAGAATGAAATTGATGAATTAGGCAGACTATTTTATAAAAGGGAAATTGCGCCAATCCTTTGTCATCCCTTTATTTAACAATAAAAATTTCAACATTCTTTTCTCCTTTTGGAAATGTAAAAACATTTAGTCATTTCAGTATTACTACTAATTCATTAACAATACTTATCAATTAAAATCATTAAAATTATTCCCATCCATTTATTATTGACAATAATAATAATAACAGCAAAATAAAATGATCCATTAAATTTCTTTTTCTTTATTGACATAATTTCTTAATTTTTATGTTCGCTTAATTTCGCAACTATGCGGTAAATTTAATTGGTTACTTTTCAAAACAAATTTTGATAACATTTTTAGAAAAGGAAGTTTTTCAAAGTTAACCAATAGATTCTAGCTTGACTCACTATTTATCAAGCCTTAGATGATAATACATGATAAGTGACAATAAGCAAAATATTTCACTTATTTTTCTTTAATTCTAATCGACGAAGTCATTCTATAACTAATTTGCATATCGTTTTTTCTCCACCTTTTTATTTAATTATTGTTGTATTTTTTCGAAGAAGAAGGAATTCCTCATCTCTTTTCTACTCTGTCGTGATATTAACAAAAAATCAAATTTTATTTTAGTCGTGGTTCAGCCGTTTTTTGTAGTGATAATATTTCGACTATTGCGATCATTCGTGATGTCTTGAGTAAAGAAGTAACCAAAAGGCAAGTCAGAGTGGACATTCAGTACGGCAAGTGTTTATATCTTTATCTTCCTAACTAATTAATCCAATATTTCCTGAAAGAAAAACCAGATTGATCGACAGCCGGTGACTTTTTCAACTTAGAACTACGCCCAAAAAAAGATCATCAATAAATCAAATGAAACTGAAAATTAGTATCAATTTATTAGCTATGATAATTTTAGATCTCAATGAACAAAGTATTTTTCATGTCCTTCAACTGCTTCATCCAAAACTCGACCATCATGCAAGCTTAACAAAAAAGTTGGAATTATCTCGAGCGCTTAAAGTCTGTCTTCATTTAGTACTCTCTAATCATATTCTTATTTCTTCTTCAAGACTTTCCTAAATTCAAATTGTCTTTCTCAGCTTTTTTAGTTTATGAAATTTTATTGAATATAGTCGTAATGAAACACAATTAAAAGCTAATTCAAATTTAGAGAATTTCAAGCAATCACGTTATATTGAAAATCATATTAACCCTAATAATCTGATCGAGAATAGAACTGCTAAGAAAAAAAAGTGAAAATTGCTTGTACAGGAACTAGCGGATAATGTGGACGACTTATCTTATCTATCTGCTGATACAAAACAAATCATGGAATCATTTGATGAACTCCATAAAGAAATGGCTTCCTGTAGAATGCATTTCGATCGTCTCACTACTATCATTGTGAATCTATACATCGGTAAAGACCGTATCTTTTGCAGATATCATTTTTTGAATCTGAATAATTAATCAGTTAATAAATCATTTTTTGGACATTCACGCAACTCCATTAAACTCTTTCTTTCAGATAGAGAACGAATGGCTGGACGAAATGGTAAATCAAAAGTGGATGAGCTTCTCGATATCATAGCAAATTATGATCGTAACAAATTGCTACAATTTTTTACGACTAAAATTTAACAACTAAAACTTTGAATTAAACAAGCCATATCATATCATATCATACCAGCTAATAGAATCAGACTAAGTTAGGACAATTCTTGCTTTCAAAGAGAGCCATTATCTGGGAAAATCATAAACTTGATCCTTCTCATTTCTGAATCAATTAAAATGTCCAGTAATGAACCTCTCCGTGAATAATGCTCACTTCCCATCGCCATTCCAAACTATTTCATATCTATCAATGAAATATTTCCTCTCTGGTAGAAACGATATAAATACTTCTAACAATATAAACATATTATAAAAACAATTGAACGAAGAGAATTACACCTATAACTTCGTTTCATTCACAAGAAGATGCTAATTTTTCCATTTCTGAAGAGAAATTGTCTGAATTGTTAAATCATTCGAATATGCAAGAGCAACAGAAAAGAAAATAAAACTTTTCTTGAACCGAATACAAAAAAAATCTTATCATAAATTATAAACTCAATTAAAAGATGAGCAAAGTTAAGCAAAAATGTTTGCGCGATTTTTTCTAAAATGTTTGAAAATTTAATAAATTTAGAAGGACGAAATTCCAAATAAACCGACGAAAGCAAGAGTGGAAATTTTTGCTGAATAAGAAGCCATACGAAATATTTAATGCAGAAACACACCAACGTGGAAATTGATCTTGATTGAAATCAACTCAATTTGAGTACTGTAACAGCTAATAATTAATAACAAAGTAATAACAGAACAAACAAAACAAAACATCGTAGAGAAAAAATGATGGTTACTGATAAAAAGTCACATGAATTGTGACAATAGCACTAGTAACGAACATTTCGGCTCAGCTACATCGCATAGAATGATTTAAAAATTTTGAAACATTCAAAATCTCGCCCTAATGAACAATGAACACTTCAAAAACATAGCAGCAGCAAAGAGGAAAAAAACCCTTATAAAGAGAAACCCTCAAATGATAAAAAGAAGAAATGCGGAAGATCGACAAATCCAGTCCACAAATAACCGAAAAAAACTGTCATAAATCATACCTCCGGATCAATTAGTAATTTATGCAATTAATGCCAACCCATATAATAAAGTGTATGTTTCTATCACCATCTATCAATTATAGTAAAGAATATGCAAAAATTAGCGAAAATTAATTGCAGTCTGGATTACAGAAATCATTCGGGCTTTCAGTACGATACTCTCGGTAATCTGTGAGATATCGCACGCCGAGTACAGTTATTCGAAGACTTCAAAATTACTTACAAGTGACGAAATAAATAATGCAAACTTGAAATGCAACAGTTCAAAAGTTCAAAGGAAAATAATCCAACCGATAAAACTACGTAATATAATAAAATAAAAAAATAAAAAATACAATTCCCGACAGCATGAGGCAATTATAGATCTATGTCCGGGCAGTATATTCTAAAAAAGCTCACCGAAGTGAAGGAAATTGAGGATTCTTCATTGGAAGAAATAAATCAAATAAAAATAAAAGAGAAATTCGACGAGATCCATTCAAGCAAACATCATTGGATAGCACCACTCTCTTAACGAACCAGCACATTCGGTTGCTGCTGTTGCTGCTGCTGACTTACTGTTGACGTAGCAGTGGGACCACTAATATTTGAAGCACTTTCTTCTAATTGTCGAATTGCTTCCAGAATTGTGTAGAAATTTGAATTCAAATTGGCTCCTGTGGCATTTTCCAGAGAATTAAAGAGAAATGGCGATGGACGCGTGAGTAAATCACCGATTGGTGGTGGCTGTGTTTGTGATGGTGAAGGTTTTCTGTCGTCAATAAAGCGTGCCTCATTGCTAGTTCCTATTGCTGACACTGCTGTTTCAGATATCAAATTACCCGTAAACATGCTCAAATCGAAACTCGTAGTTTGCAGTGGTCCAACACTACCACTACTACTATCATTACCAGCACCACAACCATTATTACCTACTCGTGCGTTTGTGAGCAGATTATCGATCAGAAACGCAGGAGGTAAAAGTCCTGAAAAAGAAATGCTATAATTTCCAATTGCACCCTAATTGTGAGGACCTAAAACCTAGATCAGAAGAAAATGAATAATTATAGCTCTATCCAAATGATGTAGTAAAACCAAAAGGGTACTGAAATAGCTTGATCTTTACCAAACTACTGAAAGAAATTTTTTTAATCTTTAAAATTTTTTAAGTATTCGAAAAATTTTGAAAGATTTAAAAGAAATTTCTTTGATTAGTTCAGATTTTAAAGAGTTCTGAAGTTGGCGAACAAATCAATCCTGTTCAGATGAGTTTTCACATTACAAAAGAGCGCAGTTCCCATCTTTTCGTAATTCATTCAAAAGACAGAAGGGAAAGGAAACGGAACCACTACGAAAACTTCTACAATTTGCAGCGCTGCTAAGAATAAAATCTGAAAAAAATTTTTCCAATACTTTTCCACACCATTCTATAATTTCTTCAGATGCATAAAGAGAAATTCGCCCACTGAAACTCTCAGGGGATACTTCTAAATTAGACCAGGATCTAATCCAATCATGCATACATTTCAAGTACTAAGCAGGAACTGCCCACAAATTCAAAAAAAAAATTAAAAGCAATTTGACTCAATAAGTTTATTTCACGAAATTCCCAGTGCTGCTCATCATTTGATGATGCAGTTTCTGATGTTAAATCTTTAAATACTATACAAGCGTTCCCAAAAATAAAGGTTTTCTTGGGGCAATGCGCAGAAAAAACCTATCATCTTAAAAATAAGTACAGCAAAACAATTGAATAAGAAGAGTTTACTGATAATTGTCCGAATCTAAAATTTCAAATAAAAACCTGTAAATTCACGCGTATGTAGAACTGGTGGCACGACACTCTGCAGTGCAATAGCCGGATTAATAATTGATGTGTTCGGTTTTGAGAGAAATTGTGAAAGCACCGGAGAATTCGTCCATAAATTAAACATTCTCTCATAAAGGTGTCGCAAACGACGCTCATGTTCCAAAGCAGCCGTTAATTCACCTATTACACCACGTTCCCGCATATTTTCATCTGAAAAAAGAAATATTTAATATAAACAGAGAAACAATTCCATTCCTCTAATATCAATATCTATCACAGCAATCCTTGTACGCTTGAAGCGCAATTATCGGATGATTTGCAAACATTCAAATAGAAATGCGATGGCTTTAAGCATGTAAAACCCCTTTATACGTCAAGAAATTTTTATCTCGAAGCGTTTGTTTCTTCTTTTTCTTTTGATTCCATGAAAGTTCTAAGTGAAAAGAAAGCATTATAACCAAATTTGATTAAATACTCCAACGATGATAAAGTTTCAGAATAGAAAATGGGGCAAGTCCTTTTTTTTGTTATCAATTCATGCAAACCTTGAATCTTTCGCTTTTTGGCATTTATAAATGTTTCTTTCTCTTCGATGAGCTTCATTTTCTCAGCACGTAATGTCTGAATCAGTTCCACTGTATGTTGTAGTATTGCAGCCTAAAATAGCTAAATTTAATAGGAACAAATATCCAACAGTATAGAAAACGTAGTATTGAAAATATCTTTGCTACTTGCTCAACATACTCTTTTTCTCAAACGCTGGTTTCTTTTGATGTGCTTTTAGTTATGAGCATAGAAAATTTCCCTTGGACAGATGCATCACAGCACATTGTATCATGGCAATGAGCAAATTACTAATTTCTATAATGCATTTATTGCACAACAGTAAAGAAATACGGAAATCATGTTTTTTTGTGAATTGCAACGATACTTTCATCATTTTTTTTAGCGACAATTTAATGAATGTGCTACAATCAAAACAAAAGGCTCACTTTGCTCAACTTTTCACCATCCTTTCTAGGCAATAGTAACTTCAGTGATTGAAAACCGGCATTGATACTTTGCATACGACGACGTTCGTTGCAATTGGCAATTTGACGACGAAGACGCCGATCTGTTGTGTCAATATTACCGCCCATCGGCGGTGAAATAGGATCATTCGGTGGTTCACTACTGCCCGTATGATATGATCGCGACTCGCTACAATTAATCTTAAAATTATATTGCAAATTCCAATGAAGAAACAAGAAGTGATGGTTCGATTAATTATGTACAGAGTGACATAGCAAACAAAGCCAATTTATAGAGATATGGTGACAAAAGAAAAGACAGAAGAGGGATGATTGTTCTACTGGTTTATAATTTAAGCTTAAAACTTTGCACTCTCAATCGAGCATCAAGGAAGTGAAATAGAAGAGGCGTAATTGTTCTATTGGCTTGTTCTTAATTTATGCTTAAAACTTTGCACTCCCCATCGAGCATCAAGGAAATGAAATGCCGACTGATCATATTTCAGGAATGATGGATGGATGAACATTCCCTTACTCATTCTTCTGGTCTTCCTTTGGAATTAGAACCGAAACAGTAAGACGCCAAAATTCTGGCTGGAATGTCTGCAGGGCCGATAAGATGATAGGCAGCATTAAAAGGCAGTCCCTCTTCCTTTTGTCTTCATTTCTTTATCATTTCTATTCTTGCTATCGAATACCTTCCACGTCATCTGTTAGAAAAACATCTTACGGAGAAAAATCTTTTAAGTCTAAGCTTGCAGCAGTGCTCAAAAACCTGATTTAAAAAATAGATTATGCATACATCTTTAATCAAATTTCTTTTCTTTTTCCAGTCGAAAAGCAAACAACTAAGATATTACGACAAAGAGCTGATAGGTGTAATATCAAATATCCAACTTCAAAACATATAAGTTATGTATGTAGTTATATAATTGTTAATCTTGGAAGATACTTCTTTAAATATTTAAACAATCTTGAAATCGATACTTACTAGAAAAAACTACAAATTTAAATTCCGTTATATAATTCTTACAGTACAAAATGGGA